TTTTTTTTTTTTTTTTTCCCCTTCCTCTCCCTCTCTCTTTTCCTCTTCTTCTCATGATCGCAAAGTTCGACGCCCTTCTCTCTTTTCCAAGCGGGATATGCGGGTCAACCTCAGCCCAAAGTTGGCGTCTAGGCCCCCAATGTTTGCAGCAGACTAGTGACTTCCACCCTCCCACCCGACTAACTATAGGACAGAACGCTCACTAACTGGTAGTACTGACCTAAACTAACCGTATCGTAGTTAAGATCCAAGACCAATTGGCCTTATTAGCACGTCACGATGAATTTTCCAGACGACTTTATTACGGAATTTAATATAATTGGAATTAACACTCGAATTGAGATCATGGTATGTCGGTTACACCTTGAATGAATGTCCTATTGTCAGGCAACATTCTTCAAACAAAGCTTGCTCCAGCATGACTCAATAATGCTCTTTCCCCCCTCCCCTTGCACAAAAGCTTCTCCCCGCTCCAGGTCAACCCCGATTTTCTTCACGAGAAGAGAACGAGATGAACAGAGCACTCGAAGCCACCCTTCCCTCTCCATCTTCGGATGCCTCCCATGGCTTCCGGTGGCACACGCACACAGACACACACAGAGGTTTAGAATCGATATTTCCACTGCGTTCATCACGGTCCCTGCACGGGCAGGGCCCACTCGAGTTTTTCCATTTTGGGACCCGCAAGCGAGAATCCTCTCTCACGTGTGGTATGGTAATACCGGCGCGTACGGGTAAAGCTGAGCATCAACAACCGGACCATTCCGTCACGACTTTGAACCAGACCAGAACCCGGTATTGTGGTCTCCAAAGACCCATCGCTGCACTGACACTGACAGGATCCGTACCTTCGCAAGGACTGCCCAATGGCTTGGACCCTCCCTGCAGAGCAGGCATAACGGGCTTTTTTTTTTCTTCTTTTTTGTCGAACCCGGCACTGCCTTTCACTGCACGACGAAACTCTACATGGCATTTATAGGGAACCTTGTCTTCTTTTCCTTTTTTTTTTTTTAATTCGGTTTTCGGCTAGTTCGGTGACACCCCCCTGCGGATGTCAGAGGGAAGCACCAATAACTCTGTAAATATACCTGCCTAACGCCTGGCATTGGCATTGATTCTGCTGATCCCTGATCAAAGGATCGCCAAAATCCCCCAGAAAGGCTCCAAGGCAAAAATCGGAAAACCATGGATCAGCATGAAATCCAATGGACAACACTCCATCGTAATTAGAGTAAATAATAGCCATGCCTTTTCCCATACTTCCGAAGCGGAGAAGTGATGATACACAGGTGACGCAAGGCCGGAATGTCCCACGATGAAACCAGGTCCATGCTTGGTGCTGGCGCTCATGGTTCAATTTCGGGACCCTACAGAAAGTCAAGTCCAGTGCCACACCACCGTTAAATCCCAGGATGAAGTACGTACCGCTAAGGAACTATCGCTCTCGACTACTAGTAGTTAGTAGTTAGGTATCTCTGCTCCTCCCCCTCACACCACATCGCATACTCACCAAGGGAGGGGAGGGGGAAGCCCTCCATTATCACATTGCTGTTGCCCAAATGCCACTAATGCACTGTGGAGGTACTTCCGTCCTGTTACCTGGGAATCGGCTAGTGATTGGTATGCCCTCTGGCCACTTTCTTTGACTGTGGCAAAATGTATGCATGTATGTCGGTAATCGTCGATACTCGAGTAGTACACAGCCAAACACCACCTGACCTCACCCCCCAGCTGAAGAAAAAGGACGTATGGATGTACCTCACTAGTAAGTAATCCATACTACACTACCCCGTAATAAGATGCCCTCGCCAACGGCCGTGAGATAATTGACTGGGGTGCGTGCCAATTGCATCCGTGAAATCCGATGATTGAGTTCTCGTGATAAACTCAAAGATCAACGGTCGTGATAGGGTCAAGACTCAAACGAACTAACAAGGTATGCTTTCCTATTACCCGATCTGGCGCCCTGAATCCTTTCCTGAGTGGGACTTCACCGTTCAGCCTCAGGCAGTGGTGAAGTTTGGATCACTTAATTTTTCCTCCTAGTAACCATTCCTGACGTCTTTATTTTATTCAAATCATTAATTGACATCTCAATATCCCTACCAAAAGACAAACACAGAAATATACCCAGCAGAAGCCACATAGACCAAGCAAAGACCGACAAGATCCCCCAACGACGTCACGGGAGTGGGTCAAAGATCAGTGACTTCATCGCCTCGAGAGCGCCGTAGACAAAGTACGTAAATTTACCACGCTTACATTACCCATTCAGGTAGTACAAAGAACAAGCCCAGATAAGGCCAACAGGTAAGAACCCCTGAACCACACCGGAGATACATATTTACAGTATTTCCTTATCCCCGTCTCACGCGCTATCTTTAACGAATGGATTGATTATATGCCAGGGATAGAATATCCGAGGTACGACCTGAGTGCCCATATGGTGTTTTGGTCGACTTGATAGTGAGGGTATATATACTAGTAGTACTTATTCTCACGCTCCCGCCTAAACACTACATATGCATATATGCAGTACGGGCCTGTCAAACGTTTACAAGTCACACACCAGTAGATATGCAGTGTATATACATACCAGCACCCATAATATCCAGGACAAAGGTACCTCGCCAGCAGGGTACATATCGCGACAGAAGTACTCGATCAGAACTGATTCTTTCAAACTTCGCCTTGAATCTACATACTAACAGGGTGCCATGCATACCTTAGCAGCCGCAGAAACAAGGCACCCCTAGGTACATTTAGCCTGGAACCGGTTTCCGGACGCAGCCGATCTTCTTGAACCCACTGTATAAGCGAATGGCCTTTTGTGTCGCAGGGTGAGGGGCTGGATGGATGGATGGATGGATGTTATTTTCTTTTTGTTTTTCACATGTAAAGATACATAATTAGCCATGTGTCATTTATATAGAAAGCTTCCGTTCGGCGCATGTCATGGAAAGTTAGGGATGGTTTACATGCACCGTCCGAGGAGCTTAACTTTGATTTCTCCACCTAAGGTGAAGAACTGACATGCTGTTGACCGCCGTCCCCACCGCTTTATGTGTAGGCACTTATTGTATTACTCGATATATGCTGCAGAATGACTCTAGATATTGGGTTGTCAACATTGCATAAGATGAACATCCATGTTTGGAATGATTCATGCCATTAAGCTGGTTTCTATGTAATGGTATTTTCGATGCGAGTTCAGGTTGTCTCCCCTGTCACGCTAAGACAAATCAAATGTACAAGAAAATGAAGCGTCAATGCTCCGCTTGAATATTAGAAAGACCGTATTCTGTACATGGAGAATTACTGCAAACAGATGTCGCGAAAATAAAGCTTTTAAATGATCATGCGTTCATATTGGAGAAGGCTTCACCTTTAGTAGCGCTGCGGAACTCGATGGACTCCGCCATCAAGCACCACCCTCTCGGGCTCGCCGTTGTCGTAGTAGTGTTCTTCTCTAGCCACTGGTCGTGTAGAAAGATAGACGGGCCGCTCAATATATTCTCTGGGCCGTCGGGGGTCGTCGTCCATATATATGCTCACATCCCTGCCAGCTGGCCGGACACTCTCTACTCGTTGAATGACCTCCCGCGGTTCATCGTACCGAGCGGTTGGTGGTCGTACGCTTGGCACTCGGACGATCCTCTCGCGTGGAACCTCAGCCTCCTCAATATAATGCGGGCGTCGCGTAGAGTAGTCGGTCACCTGGACACTGGCGCTGCGTGGCAGTGGCTCTCGCTCATCAAATGGTGCTACATAAGGCCGTCGCTCACTCGGGGCCGGGCGAGCGTAGTCGGTGACCCGTCGATAAGTGCTTTGTGGAGGTGGCATATCCTGCACGTATCGCCTGTTACCGTACGGATCTTCCAGGACAGATGGTGCCCGAACACTCGTATAGCGTACTGGCGGATGGTCGTCGTAGACCTCACTTCTTGGTACCGGCATTCGACTAGTTGGAGGAGGCATGGCTTGCATCCTCGGCGCAGGCACAGTTTCATAGTACTGATTGCCCTGCTCATCTACCACGATTCTCCGTGCTGGAGGCGCCATCATACGGCTTGGAGGCTCCTCATCATAATATGTCTCTTGATATCGTGGCGAGGTTGGAGAATCTCCCACAGGAATATAACGTCGCGTTGGAGGGGTTGCGACCTCGTCATAATACCTAGGCGGGGGTCGCTCAACAACAGCGTAGGACGAAGCTCGCATAGTATGGGGACTAGCTTGGTCAACATATTCACGAGAATATTCAGGCTGCCGAGCTTGATGGAGACTGGCAACTCTCCGGAGATCCTGGTCATCACGAATTGGCCGTCTGGTACTCAGCCGCGAAACGGTTCGCGGCATCCCGGAATCGCCGCGGATATCATAAGCATCTACATCATATGCAGGGTCTCTCATTGGGGGCTCTCTCCTTTCAATTACCGGGGTGTAGCGGGGAGATGCGATATCGATGTAGATTGGTCTCTCTTGAGCCGCACGACTACGGTATGCAGGGGAAGTGTCTGTGAACGGCGGCGGCGAAACTGGCTCCTCCTTGATGTAAGTATCATCAGGGGCTCCAGGTTGCATTCTATATGCGACCGCGCGAGGCCGGTCTCTTTCCTCATGCAACCTCCTGCGCTTTCTAGGCATCAATTGTTGGGGTGGAGCATCGGGACTTGCCTGATGTTCCGCACCGTACACTGGACGTGGCTCTTTGTGCTGATAAACGGAGGGAACTTTGGCATTGGCCAAGGGAGACACCCTGGAGGGCCGTGGAGCTGCCGGAGACGTTATATGATTACGCACAACCCTTACATCGTCTCTAGGCGAGTTCGATTCGGGAGCATAACGGGGACGGTCGGGCTGACGAGCGTCTGGGCCCCGCCTCCTCGGTCCACTGGGGTAACCTCGCTGAGCATCAAAGTTCTCCCCCCTCTCCATCGGGGCCACACCCGGGGCTGGCGGCGAATACTCCGGCTCTTCGAACGCGTCTGTAGGCTGGGCTTCTTGGTACTTGTGACCGATCAAGTTTGTCGCAGCAGGACGCGGCTGTTTCTGGTAGGGTATTCCGTGGTCTGCAACCGGGTAAGTATCTTGCATATCCTGATCCGATTCAGTGCGGTTGAGGGCCTCAAGCCGTTGCAACTCATCTGAATAATTCTCTGCTGGAGCCTCAGTAGCAGGCTCATCGGAATTAGAGGGAGGTGCAGGTGACGGTTTCTGTTGATCGCCCTGCTGCGGAGAGTCAGGGGCTCTACTAGAGTAGAACGAATTCTCGGAGTCACTAGGCTCTCCAGCACCACGCCCATCAACTGAGGGGGACGGCTTGACTATCTCCAAGGCCTTAATTAAAACATCAGAAACATCGAAGTCAGGTTTTGCGTCCTGTATAGAAGCTTTTTGCCTTGACTCTTGTCTCTTCTGCTCAAGTTGTTCCCGCAAAGCCCTTTCCACTCTTTGACGCTGCAACTGCAGTTCTGCTCTGACTAGATCATCCGACTTGGTCAGGAAGATAGGATCAATTTCAGAAGTAGGTTTCGGTACAATACGCGAGGGAGCGGTCGTGCCAGACAGACCGTCACCGGCATTTGTACTCAGTGCGCTTGCAGGTTTTAAGAGCGTCGGAACAGGCTGAGGTGCATTCCATGCGGAAGACCCAGGCCGTTCACTCGTTTTTACCTGGGGTTGAGTGGAGGTAGGGGGGTTGCGCGACGCGGGTTTGCGCACAAACTGCTGGGGAACCTTCAATCTAGGGTGAGTTCCAGTAAATATATCGTCACTTATTTTCAAAATCTTCTCATATTCCTGGATTTCCTCATTTGTTGGTAGCCCCGTAGATATACTACCCGTGGGAAGATGAGCTGCTGCCATGGTTTTGGGAGCTTTCACGAGAAATTTATCCTTGCTAACTCAAGGTCTTCTTAAACTCGTGACACTTCTAATAATAATGACTTTTCACGCCTTTCCCAGGCTGTGGAATCCCCAGTCTCGAATCAGCGTCTGACAAGTCAGACGGCCTGGGCGTGATCAAAGTCGGAATAGTTGGGGAAGGGGAACGGGGACGTCGTGTTGTTTCGAAGGAAAAGTAGTAGTACGACTCGAGTCCGAACGGATCGCCGACCGCCAGCTCTCGTGAGACGCTAAACTCCCTCCGGACAGCGATGGCGGGTGGGCGTTTTAGCCCGCGGTAATTGGCTATTGATTTCTCCCCCGGGTATAAGAATCAGTGTCTTATACATTTGGCTCCTGTTCATCTTGCGCTATGAGTCATTTCTTTTCCCGCTCATTGCTGTCAAGATCTTCTCGTGCGTGCTACTTGTCACCTAGACCTCAGAACCTGTCGCTATCCCTTCTTACTCGCATCGGAACCGCCTCCTTTTCCAGTACTAGTATATATCACTTCAGAAACGCCATGTCTCCATCAAACGATGCGACCAGCGCGGGCTCGGATAATAGACCAGTGTTCTTCTTTGATATCGATAACTGTGTATGTGGACATTCAATACTAGAACATTTCTTCCTTTTAAACTAACATGCGATGCGCGCAGCTTTACTCCAGAAGTATGGAAGCGCCCCCCTCCCCATTGGCGGGGAAGGTGATACTGAGCTGACGATCGCATATAGAATGTAACATCCACGATGAAATGCAGAAGCTGATTCGTGAGTGATACCTGCCATTCGCATAATGCGACGCAAGTAACTAAATACTTCTCTTTACCACAGACGAATTCTTCGTGAAACACCTCTCCCTCAATGGCGAAGACGCTCATATGCTGCACATGAAATACTATACCGAGTACGGGCTTGCAATTGAAGGTCTCGCTCGCCACCACAAAATCGATCCGCTTCAATTCAACAGTGAAGTCGACGATGCGCTGCCATTGGACACCATCCTGAAACCCGATCCCAAGTTGCGCAAGCTGCTCGAAGACATCGATAGGAGTAAAGTGAGGTTGTGGCTTTTGACCAACGCATACGTCAATCATGGAAAACGGGTCGTGAAACTGTTGGGGGTGGATGACCAGTTCGAGGGCATCACCTTCTGCGACTACGGGAAGCTCCCTCTCGTCTGCAAGCCAACACAGGAGATGTACGCTAAGGCGGAGAGGGAAGCAAATGTCCCGAGTACGGCAGAACGCTATTTTGTCGGTATGTATTCCATGGTTTGGGTGTAAGGCTTGTATACAGTACTAACTCGCTCTTGTAGATGACTCCGGTCTGAACTGCAAGCACGCCGCGGCTCGCGGCTGGCAGACAGTTCACCTCGTCGAGCCAGAGCTTCCTGTGCCCGATGCCCCGGTGTCGCAATATATGATCCGGAGCCTGGAAGAACTGAGGACATGCTTCCCACACTTATTCAAGAGTTCGAACTGAATCGGGTGTGAATAGATGATCTGCATAGAGTTTTTGTACATTGTATTGTGTTACGCATGTTATGAAGGCTACGAGCGATGGCTATACATAGGGTTTCTTCCTTTATACATAGATTTAGACGTATATATGTGTTGGGACGAACATAATCATAAAAAGTCTATTATCATTGCCAACAGAAATAATCTTAGAACAAAGCACTACATAAGATATCCTGATAAGACTATCTGATGCCTCAGGCTGCCAAGAATCCTTCCGCGCGGATCGCGTCCTGAGGCTCCGAACGGAGGTCCGCCGACTAGTAACACAAACACATCAACAACGGCCCCTATCTGACCGCCATACTCGACATCCAGGGCCATTGTTCGCGCAGGGGCTTCATCTCTGAATGATTGATCATGGCTGATTTAACACCCGGCCATGTGGTCACATTAACCGACGGTCGGCAGGCCACCGTACGGTTTGCTGGAACCACTCACTTCGCTGCCGGAGACTGGGTCGGCATTGAATTGGACGAACCCACAGGAAAGAACGACGGAGCCGTCCAGGGAGAACGCTACTTTGACTGCGAATTCGGATATGGCATGTTCGTCCGACCAACTGCCATCGCGGCCATTATTGGCCCTCCTGCAAAAGAAGCCAAACCGGCTGCGAAGGGGACCGCGAATGCTCCGCAGACCAGAGGGCGGGCCCAGACTGGAGCTTCTGCGAGCGGACTGGGGATCAAGAAACCGAGCGCTATACAGGCTACGAATACGAAAAGACATAGTGGCAGCTCGGCCAGCCCGAGCCCTGCGGCGAAGACTGCGTCCCAGCGGTTGGGCTTGAAGGTACGTGCATCGTGAGCTACGGAGCTGATGGAACTGCTTGCTCATTGACCTAGCAACCGCAGTCGCCTACAAAATCGCAATCGCCGACGAAGCAGCTATCGGGTGCATCCACGCCACGCTCCTCCATTAGCGGGCCCTCGAGGCCGTCCGCTGCGACATCTAAAGGCCGGCCGTCTATTGGAGCTAAGTCGACATCCATGGGCCCCCCGCCTCCCCCATCTGCGTCGCGGCCCTCCCGGCCATCGATATCTGGAGCTTCGAACAGAGCCGTTAGACCAGGCCTACAAGGAACAACGACAGCACCCACTGGGGTAACCAAGCGCCCTGCTTTGCGACAAACCGCTCCCAAGACCTCGGATGAACAAGAAAGAGAGAGCCCACAATTGGAGGATATCGAGACCACCGATAACTATGCCGAGGTCGATGAGATAGACAGCGAGGAGCCAACTGCTAAGCCGTCCAGACTGGCCTCTGGTTCATCACGGGCAGGTGCTGCTCGCCCGGGACTCTCCCAAACCTCGTCGCCGCGACAAGCTCAGAGTACCGCGCTGTCAAGGGAGCTGGAAGAGTTGAAAACAAAGCTTAGGGTGATGGAGAAAAAGCGGACTGAGGATCGAGAGAAGCTCAAGGCTTTGGAGACACTTCAACAGGAGCGGGATAAATTCGAAGGCATTATCCAGAAACTGCAGGCTAAATACCAACCACAGCAGCTTGAGATTAGCGACTTGCGAAAGAAGCTGAGAGAATCGGAGGCCCAACTCGAAGAGATCGAGCGCATCCAAGCGGAGCATGACTCGATTTTGGAAATGGCAACTCTCGACCGCGAGATGGCGGAAGAAACGGCCGATGCCTTCAGAAATGAAGTTGAAACATTGAAGTTGAGGGTGGAGGAACTTCAATTGGAAGCGGAAGTCCTACGTGAGGAGAATGAGGAGCTCGGTCAGACTATGAGTCCGGAGGAGAAGTCCAGCCATGGATGGCTGCAAATGGAGAGAACAAATGAACGGCTCCGCGAGGCCCTCATACGGCTTCGCGATATGACGCAGCAGCAGGAATCGGAATTGAAGGACCAAATCAAGGAACTACAAGAAGATCTGGAGGAGTACGAAAGTATCAAGTCCCAGTATGAATCCACCAAGGAAAAGCTGCTTGTAGCGGAAAACAATGTCGAAGATCTTAAGCAGCAGCTGGAGACTGCTCTTGGTGCGGAGGAGATGATCGAGGAGCTCGCAGATAAGAACATGCACTACCAAGAGGAAATCAACGAACTCCACGCTGCCATCGAGGACCTCGAGGCACTGAAGGAAATCAACGACGAGCTCGAGTACAACCACATCGAGACAGAAAAGCAAATGCAAGAGGAAATCGACTACAAGGAATCCCTATTCAACGAGCAATGCCGCAGGGTTGCTCAGCAAGACGAGGTCATCGAGGACTTGGAGTACACTTTGGCGCGGTTCAGGGAGCTAGTCTCTACTCTCCAAGGGGACTTGGAGGATATGCGAGCCTCGCAGCAGATTACAGAGGCCGAAGCCACGGATCTAACAACACGCTCTCGTGCCATGATGGACCTGAACTTGAAGCTGCAGGCATCAGTTTCAAAAGCGCAGACGAAGACTATCGACATTGAGCTGGAACGCATGGACGCACAAGAGGCTGCTCAGCACCTGTCCATTTTGAAACTATACCTTCCCGAATACTTTGAGGGAGAGAAGAACGCCGTTCTTGCACTTCTACGCTTCAAGCGTGTTAGTTTCAAGGCCACACTGATGAGTAGCACTGTCCGAGAGAGATTCCCCGAGCAGGCATCCGATATAGCCGTTGTGGAAGATGGCTTCGCAGCGCATGATGTCCTCGAGAAACTCATGTGGATTGGTTCCATCTGCGACCGATTCATCAACTACATCACCAACTGCTCCGCAGAGAGCTTCGACCGGATCAAGGCCACATTGTTCGAGATGGAGCCTGTAGAGCGCACCATGAACTTCTGGATAGAATCCGTAAGGAAGAACGAGCTGAACACGAAGAAGTGTGGCATTGAGCTACAAAGGTCCATCGCACTACTATCCCATCTGGCAGAAGTCCACCTACCAACTTCATTAGAGACATTCGCCGACGAGCTCTGCATGCGCTCATCCTTAACACAGTCATACATTGACCACGCCGCATCATTAATATCACGCCTCAGAACTCTGCTGCAGTCTAAACTCTCAGCCCCAGAAGGTGAAGAACAAGAGATCAATTTCCTCATCAGCAAGATGGAAACCCTAGTAACCCAAGCCCGGGGGCTAAAAGTAGCCGTGGGCAAGATCCACAAGGCCCTCGAAGATCTCCGATCAAGGTCCCTTGCCCTGTCCCAAGACATTGCAGGCCCCTTTAAGAAAACCGAGGAAGCTGCCAAAGATCTTTCCGAGCTTGCCCGGCACCTAGGAGAGAACATCGCGCTTATCGTAAGTGATGAAAGCCGAACGGAGCCACTGACGCTAGAAGAGGCAATGAAGAGCATGTCCCAGGTCTCGACCCTTTATGCGCAGCCATCGGAATCGGGAAGCGAATGCAGCGACACAATGTCCTTCATCGCCAACAGACTGCGCAGCCTAGGCGGAAACCTCGAGGAGCTCGACTCAATCTCAACCGACTTGTCAATCACATCGGAATTTGAAAAACTTCCCTCACCCTGGATCGCGCGAGCCTCGGAACTAAAATCCAACAAAGCAGTGTCCCCAGACGCGGATGAAGAAATCCGACGTCTCAAGAACGAGATCCACGAAGCCTCAACAGCCCTAGGCGTCAAGGACAAGACGATCGAAGAGCAAGCGCTGAAGGTCGAACTGGTCGAGTCCAGGATGCAAGAAGCCAGCAAAAAGGCCTCCATGGTCAAAGAGCTCGAGACCAAGATCGAAGCCATGCGAACAAAAGAAACAGAGCTGGAGCACGTTGTCGAAAAACAACGCAAAGACCTCCAAGCCATGGAGACAGAGCGCGAGGAGATCAAAGCCCGACTGGACAGGGTCAAACGCGCGTCCGGCACAACCGGAATCACCACAACAGAGGGCGTTGTGGTTGACAACGCCCTTTCCCTGGCTACGATGCGCGAGAACGAGACTCTCCGCGCCGAGGTGGAAAGTCTGCAAGCGGCCGTCCGCTTCCTGCGCGAGGAGAACCGCCGCGCCAACATGCTCGACCCGTACTCTGTGCAACGCTCAGCGGACATGTACTCTTGGCTTGACGTGCCCCTTACACAAGCCAACGGCAATGTCCAGCGTGACAAGATCCAGCAGACCGCCTCGGAGAGCAGGGATGTCTTTACTCATCTTCTCAAGCTAACCAAGGAGTCGAATATCTGCGATTTGAAGTCCACCATGTCCCAAGAGAACGGCAGCCGTGCCAGTTGGCGTCCATCGAAGACTAAGCTGCGCTACCAGGTTCTTCAACAGCGGGAGAACTTCGAGCACTGGACCGAATGGCGCGATGATATCGTCAATCAGGAAAGAGAGCAGGACAGACTGGTTAATACGAAGAAAGAGCGCCTTGCTCGTGATCGAGCCCGGAGACACGCACCCAAGAATTCGGTGTTCGGTGGCTTTCCACAGGGTCTAGGACATGGAATGATGGGGCGCGCTTGGGAGATCCTGGGCATGCAGCAAGATCATCGCAAACTGGCTGATAGACCGGTAGAACCCTCCATAACACCTTCGTTCTGAACAGCACGTTGGATGGTAATTGGAACACTATACCCATTTGTTTCGTATCTTAATTGCATTATACATTGATTTTGCCTCGATTGTGACTCGCTGTAAATAATTATCTATTGTAAATGAACATTCAAGATGTGCAGTCTCAACGCTCAACGATACATTCCAATCACTCAACAAATACGACAAAATAAAAACTAGGAACAAAGCAAGTACTGTACAACTCCAGACTGATTCCACCAAGTCTAAACAAAGCGCTGGCAATGCATCCCGAAAGGCGTCGAGTGATTGTCATGAAAGAAAGACATCAAACAAAAGCTGGTGCAGTAATGATGAGATAGTCATGGACATCATAGATCGGTGTCGAGAAGGCCAAAAATACGAAGCTGTAGACAAACAGCGACAGCTGCGAATTTATAAGTTGGGACACTAGATATGCGAATATTAAATCAGGTAAAGGTTTTTTTTACACCGCGAAAAAGGTAACGGTCTTCCATGCGATACACACATCGAGCTTGACTCTCAGATTAGAGCGCACCCGACAGAATAGCCTCCGTGGCTACAAGGATCACAAACAGTTAGTATGATTCTGTTGTAATATCTTAGTGGGGAATACTTCTTACCTGAGTTGATATATGGACGCTTGGCATCGAGATTCACACCAAAACGTCTCTCCAGCTCTTGTTTGATACTCTTCTTCGTCACGGTCATTAGATCGGCTGACCGCAGGATCTCACGGATTTCCGCGAGAATGGCATCGTCGCTAGGTAGATGTGATAGATCCTCCATCTCCATATCCATATGGCGGCTCATCATCTCGGAAGGAGCCAGAGACATCCTGGACCCATAGCGAGGGAGATCGAACTGAGACACTGGTCTAGCTCCAGGGAACCCGTATTCGGACTGCGCAGGGTGATACGACTTAGTACCATAGGAGAAGCCAGAAACTTCTGAACGATCGTCTCGTGACGTCTGGGCCTCCCAGAGCTCCGCTTGATACTCCTCCCATCTCTTCTTCGGTATAGACGCCGGGTCAAATTTTCCTTCATCTGAAATGACGACTTTGCGGCCCTGTTCTCCAGTGATAACACGAGTGTTTCCCCAAGAAAAGTCATCCATATGCCAGAACGAGTAGAGGGGCAGGGCCACGGAGAAAATAGGCATGGCCAGGAGGTACACAATCATCCAGCCAATCATTTCCCACTTGCGACGGAAGATGAAGATGAGGGCCTGAAGACCATAGATCGCTGCGATGAGAACAAAAGACGTCCATGGAATGGTGGATGAATCTCTGGCAAGCCAGACAATCAGGTAGATGATATAGGCGAGCGAGACAGGTTGGATGCAGGTACTGAGAAGGTCAACGAAGACAATGAATCTCATACTAAAGCAACAGAAACCACAGAGTTGCTGAAGAGGGATCAGTTCAATCAAATTGTGAACGGTTGAGTTGATCCATCTACGACGTTGCGACAAGAAGACTGCGAAGCTTTCAGGTGCGATTGTCCAAGCCTTAGCTGCAAAAAGGAATTTCGTCTTAAAAGTAGGATGATGCTTGAGGAGAAGGGTTGTCAAATACCGATCCTCACCCAGGTGTAGCAGGTTCTTCATATGGAGTGTGTCAACACGAATTTCCGAGTAGGCTTCCACGACCTCCTTGCTAACGAAAAGCGGTTTTGCGGTTTCTGCAGAGCGAATACGGTACATGGTGAAGCAGCCCGGCAAGCATGTGACTGACCCGAAAAGACTTTCGAAAGCCTTGATCAGATTGTGGGAGATGAAGTACTCGTAAACTTGAATCATTGTCACCGCTGAATGCTTAGCATTTGTTAAGCCTGTTTCGCCACAGATACCTATAATGCGCGTGTCGGCTAAGCAAGAAGCAACGAATCGAGTTCCTGAATCGGGCGCAACCACCGTATCAGCGTCGACTTGCAGAATGAACTCATAGAACGTAGGATTGACGCCAATAATGTTACGAATTTGGTGGTACATTTCCAGTTCCATAGGACTCATGGGAAGATTGTAATGGACGCGGTTCAAGAAGCGCATGAGCACCATCTGAGAGTCACGTTTTCCACGGTTACCAGGTCGTGAGACTTCAGAAGGTTTTCCGACTTTAACGACAACAAGGAAAGGAACGATATGTCCCTGCACCTCATATAGACCAGAATAGATTTTACCCATGTTGTGCTGCTTCATGCCTTCGCCCAAACTCTCAAAGCTGAGGGGCTCTGGATCCACTGATTCTGGAACGCCCAGAATATCCAATACTATCCGTGGAGTAGGTCGATCGTTTCCTTGTCCAATAATCATGCCATCACAGATGACAACAAGGAGTTTACGCTTGTCGTCATACTGCATGCGGGCCATAGAATCCATTGCACGACGAAGGGACTCCTCATCTTCAGTGTAAGCCGGTACTTGACAAATAATGAATTTATCAAGATTTTCAGGGACGTTTTTCTTGCCGAATTGTAAAGCGGCAGCAAACTTGAAGATGACAACCGAGCAAATCAAGATTGAGATTGCAAGGATGAAGTAACGCGCAAATTGGCATTGGGCTGAATTCCGCGTATCGACTTTGCCGACGAAGAAAAGGTTATCGAGACACATCTGCATCCGATCACGCATGCTTGCATCTATCTGCAGCTGTTCCCAGTGTTTACTCAGGTCCTGCCCGGGAAGATCTTGGAAGAGCGACACCACCAAAGGATCCATAAACTCCCGGTCGACATTAGCCGGGACCTCTTTTCCAGGAGGAGCTGCGACCCGTCGACCTCCACTTATATATGTTGTCAAATCGTAGACCTTTCCGTCTATGCTTCCAATGTTCTGGGATTTTTTGCCCAATGTGGAGATGTATTGTGGAGTATAACCCATGTATCCTTTCAGATAGGTTGCCCTCAGTTGTTTCATCTGCTCTGCAAACCAGTCTGGACGGGAGTCGTTGGTGTAGTATCGGAAATCATGGTATTTTGCGTTGATGTCTCCTGAGCTTATGGTCGTCGCCGATCCGGAGATGTTCGTAGGAGTGTAATCCAGAAGAACAGTGGGATCGATCGACCCATCCTTACCTTGGCATAATGCTGACACCTGTACAGGGAAGAGACCGGTAGCATCAATGCCGGCATATTTCTTCAAAGATGATTGCGGCACAATATCGGGATAATGTCGGGGCATGAATTTATCAAGGTCAAAAACCACACCGCGAACGGCAATGTAAGAGTTATGGCCGTCTTTGCCGTTATGAGAAGACAATTCCGCGGCTGAATACACATGCTGTGTCGGACATACCAAACCGGGGAAGGCGACGATCATGAAAATGGCGACGGCACAACTGAACCAAATAATCAAGTTGATCGCGAATTTCTCACGCCAAGCAGTTCGTACGTCCTTTCGTTTCATCCGACCAACTAGCCTGATGGCGAAGTCTGGAATGTAGAATGTGAGCAACCAGACGATTGCCATCCAGCGTTTGCGACTACTCGAAACAGGTACTTCGTCCACCTCTTCCATTTTTTTCTCATTGCCTTTCTCCAACATCTGCTCTCTTGTCTCGAGGTTGTGGAACATATCGCCCGAGTTCAGACCAGAGCCACCGGTATCAGATCGCCCATCAAGATCACGACTTCCGAAGTACCCTTGCTTGTTTTCATCGCCGTATATGAAGTTGCCGGGAGACTGATCTGCCGGGTTGAGAAGGCGAACTTTGGAATCCCCATACGCAGCGGCACGCGGGTGAAGGAGGCCATCACTATCTTCCGAGCCGTCGGCGTGGTAGACAGGAATGACACGCTCGCCTACCTTTGCGAGGTCTGCCCAGCAGCGTTCACTCAAGAAAACACCTGTGCTGCCAACACGGGCTTCATTACCCGGCCATCGCTTCTCATCTAGCACAACCTCTGACTTTTCTTTATCGCTCCCCACCACGACGTTGCCTATCTCAGCTAAACCAAGGAATTCCTCAAATGGAAGGAAAACGCTGAAGTCCGCGTTCCTTAGGCGTTGGCTGATCTCGGCGATGCCAAATGTTTGCACCTGAGCTCGCACACACTTGCTGTCAAATTGATTCGCAATTCGCCGGTCATTTGGCTTCAAACAAAAGACGAAGTAGGGATTCAAAGTAGGGGAGCTGAGGCATTTATTGACGATTTCCAGCGAGGAAAGGAATTGTCCGGCAGCACCCTGGATGCCAGTCATGGACATCGCACTCTTTCGCCTTCCAGAGCTCTTGGCTGTGCTGCCCCCATAGCTCTCATAGTCTTCGGGTTCGTCCGCCGTGGGTGCATCGAAAGTAAGACGAGACGCTGGGCTGGTTTTCCGCCTTGCCATGCTAGGCATTCTCAAGGGCTTTGAGCTTACCTGAGCTTGCATAATAGCGGTCTTCTCCTTTGGGTGTGTCACTGTCTGTAGTGCTTCTTGTCCGAAGAGCTCTCTCACGAAGTCGCTTCTGGTGGACTTCATCAAGTTCATCAGATCACCGGAGATAACTTCCCCATTTTCCTCAAGTAGACCGGAGATGGAGTAATCAACTTCGCCAGCGAAATGCTTCACAGTAAATGCCGAGCGGGCTTGCTGCGAGACATATCCAGTTCCGTGGGTAGACCCTGAGGTTCCGACAGCAATAGCCGGGTTTTTGTTTTCGAACCGTTTCTTCAACGATTCGGCAAATTGAGCTTCCGTTCTACCGCGCCTAGTTTGATCATCGAGGATACTGAGAAGCCCGTTACCATGTTTCAACAGCCCACGGACAGCATCGGTGTTGTCAAAGTAGCTCGTCGCGGGAACTACAACTTCTTCGCGCTCTAACATATCAGCCTTGCGGTCGAAGAAGGACTGCAGGCAGAAATTGTACAACGATTCGGTGGCTGCATTGCTAAGAAGTTGATCCAGTGTGGATCCAGTTGAGCATGCCTGGGAGAAACCAGGGAAATCAACAATAGACACGGTGTTGGCAACACTATCCTCGGCAGCGCATATTCTCTGATTGACAGTCTCGAGAATATAAGCCACTAGTAAGGAGTAAATAGTGCGCGCAAGTTCATCAGCGTTTTGTCGGGCACCCTTTGGGTCCAGCATCACCGTGACGCGCTCCCGGTGGATGGTCTTAGTCCGGTAACTAAAACTATTCTCAAGCTCATCAACCCCAAGTCCCAAGAACGCGGCGACGCTTGACAGGACATCCTTATTCTTCACTACCGTGACAGTCTCCCCACCCTCATGTGAATAGCCGCCAGACTCCTCTGCTGATGTCAAAGTAGCTTGTCCGCTGGAAAAGTCTAGTTGGCCGATATGAAGGATAGCAGCAAGAATTTGGCAAATCTCGGCTATCTCACTGCGTGGGAACTCGAGCTTCCTGAGTGCTGTCTTGAAATGTTGAAAGCCCTCCGCATCGTTGATGCCTACCTTGAGCTGAGTTGGATGGCCCAGATATCTCCACCTCTTGTGACCTATCGATGCGGACGAAAGCTTGCCGGCACTCGTCGAAACATGGATAGAGTTATCAAAGCCCAAGTGACTCTTTTCTGCCGCACTTGTCCCAGCTAAGAGATAGTAAAGGACATGGAAGCTTCTTTCACCTGTGGGGACTGACGCAATACGACTGCGTTCGAGTCTGTGGTCGATGATTTTACCACCGATCAGCGTTGGGTTGACCGACGACGAGCCGTCATATTGTAGTTCCAAGAAAAGTCCCGCCTTCGATGCCGTGGGCGTAGTCAAAGACTTGGTCGTTGTCAATGTATCAAAGATAAAGGAGGCGTACGACAGTTTGGACGACAAGGGTGTGGATGAGAACGAGAGAAACGACGACAACACATGCGCTCGAATGGTAGTTTTTCCAGCCCCGCTCTCTCCGCTACAAATCGGCAATTAGAAAACAAACCGTATAGATGTGTGTATTTCCAGAATGCGCTTACAGAAAAACAATGGCCTGATTCTCTCCACGGGCACCCAGGCGAGTAAAGGCACGGCGGGCGAGGTCTTCCGCCTCGCCCATGGCACTGCCCTCCTTGCCGCCATCAGGCCCCTTTGAAGATGAAGTGTATGTGTTGAGACTGATCAAAGCCTGAGAAGACAGACGAGCTGTAGGTAAGCCGACATGGAATCTAGAAGAAAAGCCACCACGTCAGTCAAACATGGAGAAACGGTGGATCGCGATATCATACCGGCTGGCTAAATGAGCAGTCAAATGTGTGTCTGATTGCAGATGAGCCGGTAACGAGGGCAACGACGACTGCGCATGGGACGGAACTGTCCCAGCTGGCGAAGGCCCAACCATATTATCAATGGCTCGACGCCTTGAAGCTGGGGGTTCTTAAGCACTGGTCACGATCGTAGCAGTCGGTATGGGCGTCTTACGAAAGATCGGTAAGGATCCCGGTGAAGGAGAAACGGAGGGAAAAAGAAAAATTCCAGAAAGCGATCTTGTCCGGCGTGGTCTCGAACTGGATAGGGCCGTTCAGTTATGCTGATTTAGATGTTGGATGGCTTGGAATGTGGCAACGCCCTGGAATGGAGAATATGTCTTATCAATAGAGAAACGATAGGCACATTGCTTGTCAAGATGGCAAACGAATTCTCAAACGGCACGCAGCTCGTTGATCTTCTGCGGAACTTTGGCGCAATAAATACGAGATGAACAGCTGGCGAGCTGTGAAGCGAGAGTGGCGTGAAGAGAAGTGTAGCGATTGTATCTGGAGAATGACTTGTAGGCGGATGGAACGATGGTTGAACACGCTGTGATTATGATTATTACTCTGGGAGGATATTCAAATCCAAGCAGGAAAAGAAAGGATCCGCCGGAACAGAGGAAGGGAAACAGAAATAATTGAAGAAAGATACAAAAAGCATAAAAGCAAAACAGAATGAGCAATTCAACAGAGGTGAGCTTTTCGGGAGAAAAGAAACAAACGATATGAACAGCTTCTGGGGAAAAGAAAGAGTGAACCAAAACTACAAGGTACTAGTGGCAGTTACTTGAACTGGGTAAGTGTGGTATTGAATGGATCTGTTACCATCAGATGCTTGCTTGGGTAGGTTACTCGGTGGGTCACACTCGTCTTGAATTGTGGTTTTTCAAATTACTCGTTTGTACTTGGTTCGATACCTCAGGTATGCCTGTATCAAACAATTGGGGAGAAAAAAAATCAAATTTACTAGTCGGATCAGCACCCGACGATATAAATACTCGGATTGGCCATGTCGGGTCAGGAATCCATCAGCATTAATCTGTATCCTGTTCGACGTAGATTGAGTGAGCGGATCAGATTGTTATTATTTTCAAAGGTTCCCCCCAACAACCGAGGCCAAGTGGACGCAGCGTCTTTGATCCGACCACTCAGACTGCAGTGGAGTTTGGTGAACCCAGTCGGCCGAACCTTGAACTTTACCCGTTCCCCTCCTCCCAATTATTCAGAGTACGTGTATATGAACATCATACCGAAGCAGGTAGGTCCTGATGGACAATATCCTGGTACTACACGGCACGATGTGCCCTGAACCTTGGGAAGGTAGGAACAAAATGATTACACCCAGCGCCAATTACAGTTTCGGCTCCCCGATTTCATACCTTGGTTGATTCAAGATAACCAGCCGTACGGGACCACCGCAGTTTACATCAGTTCTTCCCATGGTTAACGCCACATGCTCTTGACAGGTTACCGAACGACTTCAGGGGCGCGTACTAGATATCCCTTGAGAGCATTTCTACGGTATGCAAAAATCTTTCTTTTCTTTTCTTTTTTTTCTTTTTTTTTTTTTTAAAGTTCATCCATTCCGTATAGGAGGCACTATAAATATATTTTAATCAATAAATGCATCGGTCACCTGCAATATAGGAGGTTTTCCTTCCATAGTTAGTAAGCCGTCTCCTTTATAGGTTACAATCGAGAAAAGGGACCAGACCCTGAGGGGTTTAGGGGAATGAACGCGAAAAGGAAAAGAAAGAAAATCAATCTAGGTCCGGGTGGGTCGGATCATTCGATTGACTTGTCCTGATGGGGAAAGGTCCGAAACTAGGGCCCCCATTCGTCCTTTGGCTGATTCTGGTTCCATTCTCATGTTTTGAAATTCACAGTGGAAGACAATGGAATGTGTCCTGAAAATTTTCACTTTCCAGTTTTTGTGAAAATGGTTCTCATCACCATGGCCCTTCAATATGATCCCTAATACATATATTGCGTACTTCAGAGTAGATTACGTTTCTTGTAGAGGGGCAGCTCATATTGATCAGTGGACATGGTCGGATTGTCCGAAGCACCAGCACATACCTCCTACACTTCTAATACTAACCTCTATAGGCTTTGCAAACTCACTAGTGACCAACTAATACTACCGAGATACATAGGCCGTATGTAGTCTGTACAGTGGATGTTTTGCAGAAAACAATGACTAGAGCCGCCACAATTGCCTTGAAAGAGGCGCAATGATCTGACTTGGTATAAAAATAACAACACCGTTAAGGCGGCCAGTGCCAGATGCATGCTGCATGATTCTGGATACTACTACTGGACTTACTAGTACAAATCATTAGGAACTAAACATATGACAACTCGGACACACCTGGAATAGAAAAAATGTATCGGCAAGATAACCTTGATTGGCTTTGACTGAGACACGGGTGTCTTCAGCAAGGTCGGTTGACCCAATCTTTCCGGTATTCGATACGGAAATCTGGTGGCCATGGAGTGCGGGTGAGACAGGGTGTGCCATTTTTAGCTATGGGAGTCTCCAAGGGTCTAGGGCCATGGATCTGGCTCCCCTCGCTACCACCATTGGCCAAGACAAAAAGTTCTGATGCACGCCACCTGACAGGTTTGAGGGGGAAACCGAAAGGGAACAAGGAAAAAAAAAGAAAAGAAAAGAAAAGAAAGTAAACAAACCCACCCAAGCAATCAGATACACTAAAAAAGAAGAAGATCATATGTAAAATGAAGATTACATGACGACCTCATTGTATCATATGAATTGAAAATTTCCTTTCTCAACCGATCCCAAGCCCGATTCCGAACAGAATGCACCGAGGAAAGGGGGAAGAGTTGCCCATTGTTATGACCCAAATACCAGATATGATTTACGAGCTAAATGTTAGCTACGTACTATCAGTAGTGGGGACAACGCACCTCTGTTTTTTTCCTTTTTTTTCCTTTTTTTTTTTGCACTCTGCAGTTTCAAAGCCGTCAATCAGAATTACCAATTGAAAACAAGCGAAGGGGAGGGGGGATTTGCCTTGAAACAACAAAGCACCGAGCAAATGGAAACTGAAGTAATTTTCGTATGCGCGTACCAACAGTACCAACCCATATCCAGTTAAGCTTCTGGGACGACAACTTACCTTAGGCTGGCTGGCAACAAACTCGCATCACAGGTGATCGTCTCGTTCTCTTCTTTCTGTCTGCTTCTTCCTATTCTATCCACCTCCCAATTGTCCGCCACTGTTGTTGTTGTTTGGATTCCTCTTGCTTGTTTTTACCTTCGTTACGGGAGTAGTGCTTTCGAGTGTGTTTGATCTTCCTATCTTGTTTCTTTTTCTTTCTTTTCTTTTGATAACCGAATCGTTTAGCCCTTCGCTTCGCATCATCGGTTGTAATTATAATCTCCGGGCTTTACAAACGTCGCTTTGCCCAACACTCGCTACTCATCCACATTCCCGTCACTCGCTTCAGCACCTGAAGAATACAATAACATCATTCCTAACAATCACAGCTTCTGAGTTCACTATTCAAAGCTTCCCGCTCAGACTGTGCTCGCATATCCTCCATTCGGGCTCACGACCGCAGCGACACTAGGACCGTGTACGCATGCCTGTATCCTTCGCTTAGAGGTGAAGTGAGAACTGAAGACGGGAAGTTTGCAGTTTCATGTTCTGAACGTACAGGATTGGGTTCGCCGTTCGTGCCATCGCTTGGTTGGCGTTCATTACGAGAACATATCGGGGGCAGACCGCCGATTAACCTCAGAGTTGCACAACCATGTCAAATCGCTATTCAGTTTACTCCAGCCATTCGGCTGCTTTCTCCACCGGCGGCCGAGCGCCCCAGTCAGGTGGGCAGGTCTCGACAACGACGTTGCTAAATGCGTTGCATGCGCATTATACGACCGGACAGCCCTACCAACTCGACGCGGGAACCAGCCTAGTCGTGAATACATTGCTTACTGCAACGCAAGCAACCCCGGAAGGCCATATCGGGCCTACAATAGATCGCGAACTAGCGGCCAGAGCTTGGGAGCATGCAAGGAGAAGAGCAGAGGACGGCTGTATCGTTTTATGGTTAGCGCTCATCCTGAGATCCAGCAGTATTGGAAGGCCAACTGACACTCAATCGTAACCAGCTCTACTCACCACTCAACACCATCCGTTTTAGAGCCATTCTTAGCAACACTACCTTTGTCCACTCCCAGTATCGCCTTCACAGCGTTGGCCGCTCTCCGCCCCTTTTTGACGGCTGTAACCAGCTTCAACCCTTCATACTCACTCTATTCCGCGCTTTCGGCTTGCTACACCTTGACCCTCAAGGGCGACATCACCGGGCTATCTCTAGCACTTTCGACTTCAGGGATCAATGTACGCAAAGGATTCCTCGATATTGCTTCTGAGCCGGGATATCGTGCCTTCGACGTGTTCTACTATCTCTTAACGTCTGCATCGACACCAGCCGAGCGAGAATTCCTGGACCTGAAAGACGCCTCGTCCTACGCTCTGCTCCGTAAGTCGGGTACTTATGCACCCCCATCGTATCTTCCTACTGCCGACGACGCTGCCGCTGCCGAAGACTTTAGATCTGCTCTTAAGGCCATCGGCATCAAAGGTGCAGCCCAACGAGGTCTTTTATCAGTACTTGCAGGGTTGCTCAAGCTTGGTAATGCGGCCGGCTTCCTAGTTGACCAGGAAGACCTAGAGGAGGCGTGTGAAGATGTTGGTGGTTTACTGGGCATAGATCCTGAAGTTCTTCTGCACAAATGCTCCACCGACGAAAGAGAGGTCCTAATTTCTGGAATATACGAGGCTTTGGTTGATTGGGTGATCGGAAAAGCCAATGAAGCTATTGCGAGCCAGCTGCAGGCAAGCTTGGATGACAGCAGTCCTGGCTCTGGACAGCCAGCTCAGTGGTCCGACGACGATACGGTAAGTATCACCGTGGTTGACCTGCCTAGGCCTGCGCTGGGAAGGGCTGTGGCGATGAGAGGGGTATTTGACGATACCCTGGGAATCAACGCTGAAATGAAGGAGGATGGAGTCGTCGTTCCTCCAGCTGGCCCGGCCGTTCTTAATGATATGACCGCAGCGATTGCCCAGGTTGAAGTCGATCTGGGAATATCCACTGGCCCCACGTGGCGCGAACGTGAGTATGAGCTGGACAAGAGACATGAAGTCTTGGAGAAAGTTGGGCTTGAAGTTGAAATGGACTCGTTTCTTCGACAGATTTTGTTTACCGCTGAATCCGAAGGAATCACATTGGGCAAGAAAGGCCGATTTGATTTGGCCACCACACTAGGCAGCAGCCGTGTTTGGCATCATATCTCTATTCATCCCACTGATGACTTACCTGAAAATCTGAACCCTAGTATACCGACTGCGACTTGGTCCGCGAGCGCCGTTTCCCGTCAACTACGGGAATGGCGACTTGCTGAGTGGGCAAACCGTCGCCTCAGACAGATCGATTTCACAGCCGACTTTGACGTGGAGGAATTTATCGGTAGATACTTCCGACTAGGCTGCGGAGAAGGAAAGGATGGTGTTGAGAACTGGTTGGTTGAAAGGGGGTGGACCAACGGCGATGCCGTGGTTGGCCATCAGCGAATCTGGGTGAGAGAAAATGCGTGGTGGGAAGCAGAGACAATGCTCGATCTCAAGCCTGAAGAACCACCAGCAGCAAGCCCTTTCATGTATGGAAGTGGCATGCTAGATCCTGGCGTTCCACATTACGCAGTGCCCCCCATCGCAGAATCGACAAGCCTTCTAGGGAGCCGGGATAATTTGCTCAACAGACAAAGTACACTCGTTCCCAGTGTTGTTGGTGGTGCGAAGTCAATTGCGCCCAGCGCTCCGCATACCTTGCAAGCGGGCGGTGACTATGGCTTAGGCCCTAAGGGAGATGATAAGAAGTATGACAACCCCTTCTATGACGAAGACGGCCGCTACTTGGGCGAGCTTGATCCTGAGTATGCCGATCCCAAACATATCGAGAAAAAGGATATTACACTCGGTCGACGTGTCTGGACTGGCTTTGTCTGGGCCTTGACTTTCTGGATTCCATCGTTCGTCCTTCGCTTCGTAGGCCGAATGAAGCGTCCAGATGTGCGGATGGCATGGAGAGAAAAGCTCGTCCTCGTGTTTCTCATTCTTCTCTTTAACGCTATTGTCTGCTTTTATATCATCGCCTTCGGTAACTTGCTTTGTCCAAACAAGGATAAAGTCTGGAACGAGAAAGAGGTCAGTTATCATCAAGGGAATAATGACTTTTACGTCAGCATTCACGGCAAAGTCTACGACATCAGCAAATTCTGGAAGATCCAACACAGTGACACAAACATTGAGACGACAACATCAAACATGGAGCCTTTCATGGGTCAAAACATGGACGCCTACTTCCCTCCTCCGCTTACTCGACTCTGTGGTGACTTTGTGACCGATGAGTCTATCACACTGAGAAATAACGACACAAACGCGGTGTTGTATTCAAATGCCAAGCATAGTTGTGGCCCTCTCGCGCAGACGGACCCGAACACGAAGCTGCACAAAATCACCTGGTACGAAGATGTCTTTCTACCAAAGATTGACGAGTACTACAAGGGCTCCGTTGTATGGAAGCGGAGTGATGTGGCAAAACAAGCAGACAGCAGTTCACGGTCCTGGGTCATCAAGGATCAAAACATATATGATTTGACGGACTATTTCTATACCCTCAAGCAGATGAACAACATCGACAGTTACAACTTCCTGCCAAGCAGTATCACAGAACTTTTCAAAAATTATCCAGGCACCGACGTAACGGACAAATGGCCAGACAGTGAAAATGCCACCAAAGCGCAAACTTGTCTGGATTATGTGTTCAATAAAGGCAAGGTTGATTTCCGTGATACTGCGAGATGCCAAGTCAATAATTACATCCTGTTGGCATTCACGTGTCTCATTTGCGCTGTCGTTCTTGTCAAGTTCCTTGCTGCTCTCCAGCTAGGATCCAAACGTCGGCCCGCCCCTCAGGACAAGTTCGTCATCTGCTTGGTGCCAGCGTACACTGAGGGCGAGGACTCATTGCGAAAAGGCCTTGATTCATTGACAGCTCTTCAGTATGATAACAAGAGGAAACTGATTTATGTCATCTGCGACGGTATGATTGTCGGTGGCGGTAACGACCGCCCAACGCCCAAGATCGTTCTGGACATTCTGGGAGTAGATCCCAAGATCGACCCTCCTGCCTTACCGTTCAAATCGGTTGGACAAGGCAGTGATCAGCTCAACTATGGAAAGGTTTACTCCGGACTTTATGAGTATGAAGGGAATGTTGTTCCCTACATTGTTGTCGTGAAGGTTGGCAAAGAGTCCGAGCAAAGCAAGTCCAAACCTGGAAACAGGGGTAAGCGCGACTCTCAGATTCAGATTATGAACTTCCTTAATCGCGTACACCATCGCGCCCCCATGTCGCCTCTTGAGCTGGAGATTTTCCATCAGATTAATAATGTGATTGGCGTCGACCCTGAGCTCTATGAATACTGCCTGATGGTGGATGCGGATACAAGTGTCCGAGAAGATTCACTTAATCGCCTTGTCGCTGCCTGTGCCAATGATGCCCGCATTGCTGGCATTTGTGGTGAGACGAGTTTGCAAAATGAGGAACGAAGCTGGTGGACCATGATCCAGGTTTATGAGTACTACATTTCTCATCATCTCTCAAAAGCATTCGAGTCCCTCTTTGGCAGTGTAACCTGTCTTCCTGGGTGGTAAGTATAATACCTATCAGTGCAATATATACTTCGAAGATGCTGACTCGTACAGTTTCTGCATGTATCGCTTGCGGACGGCGGACAAAGGCCGGCCTTTGATCATATCAGACAAGGTTATCAAAGAATACGCAGACAATGACGTTGACACGCTGCACAAGAAAAACCTGCTTTCTCTAGGTGAGGATCGTTATTTGACTACACTGATGACAAAGCACTTCCCTACCATGTCTTACAAATTCATCCCGGATGCCTACGCTAGCACTGCCGCCCCCGAGACGTTCTCTGTCCTTCTATCTCAGCGACGTCGCTGGATCAACTCGACTGTCCACAACCTGGTGGAACTCGCTGCCCTGAAAGACCTGTGCGGCTTCTGCTGCTTCAGTATGCGCTTTGTCGTATTGGTTGATCTTCTCGGAACCATCATCCTCCCGGCCACCTGTGTTTACTTGGGTTACCTAATCTACAGTGTCGCCAGTGGTGGACCAATTCCAATCATATCTATCGCCATCTTGGCTGGTGTGTACGGCCTTCAGGCGATCATCTTCATTGTGAAACGGCAGTGGCAGCATATTGGTTGGATGATCATTTATATCTGTGCCTATCCGATCTATAGTTTCGTTTTGCCGATGTATTCCTTCTGGAAACAAGACGACTTCAGCTGGGGTAACACTCGTGTTGTCCTTGGAGAGAAGGGATCCAAGCGGGTTGTTGCGGTAGAAGACGAACCATTTGACCCCCGCAGTATTCCTCTCCAGCGCTGGGACGATTACGCTCTTGCCAATAACCTGCCGGGCCGCCGTGGAGATTATAGCATGAGCCAGGAGAAATTCTACGGAGGTCAATATGGAGATATGGGCATGGAAATGGATGATATGCATTCCCAGTATTCCTCGGTCAAGCCTGCATCCACAATCTTAACCGGATTCCCAGGAGCAGGCCGGAATAGTAGCCCTTACATGCCGCCGCAGTCGCCCGCCCCGTTCGGCGGCAATATCCCAGGCAACAGGCATTCGCACATGTCCAGCTTTAGTCGGTATACCGATATGCCGCTTCAGCCAGGGCACCAGTCTCGAAACTTGTCGGTGGGAAATCTCAGCCAGTTCCAGGCTCCGTCAAGTCGGCATAGCGTGGGACTCATGCAGAGCACTGACAATCTCCTGGGGGTTCCCCGGCCAAACTCTCGGAGCCCAGTAGGTGGTTACACCTCCCGGCCTCAAAGTGCGTTTGACTTCCGCGGAAGTGGCGGGCCTGATGAGATGGCCATTACGGATGCTATTCGTAGCTGTCTGGCCGAAGTAGACCTGGACACGGTAACGAAGAAACAAGGTAAGCACTTGAACGCAGCCGTGTTATGAGATACATGCTAACTGAAGCGACCATAGTTCGTGTATTGGTCGAGCAGCGCCTTCAAGCGACATTGACCGGAGACAAGCGAGCATTCCTCGATCGCCAGATTGACCAAGAACTGGCAAATATGTAGATTTGTATCTGAGTTTCTTTATTCCTTGTTTGATCTTGCCCCCGGTACCTTAATACATATATTCGTGCGGGAAAATGTTGATATTTCGGTTTGGCATGCATGGCGTTTTGGGATGATCTGAAGCATTCAGCGAATTTGAACGAGTGTAATAGTTGTTTATGAGAGTTGGAATGTACTCGGGATGTTAGCCTGTACATGGAGCATATGTTGTCGGACAACATCTAATGATGAACTTGCAACATGCATGTGTGATACATAAGTAGATTATAGAAATCTGGAATACTCAACGCCCATTCACGACTCATTTTTTTTTCACTCGGTACGGAGTATACTATATCAAATATTCCAGAAAGCATAATCACAGTCAATCAATAACTTCTTCCCATATAATAAAACATGAAGAAGAAACTCAGTACACGATATTCATACAGAAATAAAAAAAAAAAGCAAAGCACGAGCTCCCATACAGAAGCCCCAGCTCCAGTATTTCACACTTCTCACTCTAGAGACACAATCAACTCATATAAGATAAACTCCTACTCCTTCCCAGCATCAACAAGGCTCTCCTTCTCACCTAAACCAGTCTGATGATCACCGCCAGTGCGTATAACACCCGGGTCACCAGTCGACCGCCGCGCTTCTCTTACCGCAATGCTGGCGAGTACGATGAAATTGACAGCGAGCATAATGTGATTCAGCCAGTGCGCAGCATTCTGGTCGACCCAGCGCCCGAGGGTATTCGCAGCCAGGTTTGTAATAGCCAGACTTGGAGGCAGCGTTAGTGGGGAAGCTATAATAAAAGGGAGGAGCTGGGTTATAGTGGCTGGACGCACAGAGCAGCGTTGTTCGGACGGCGACATAGCCGATCCTTTAATGTGTGTTGGGTCATCGGGAGGGTTGTTAGGGCTTTGGCGGAATTCTGCTCTGCTTCGGGGTTTGGAAGTGGTAGTGAGGCGACCCAAAATGTCAGAATCGAGTATGTGGTCTATGGGAGGTGATAGAGGGGTGTTATGAAGGAATTTATCGAGGAAATGTAAATACGTTGGTTTTTGTGCTTGTTCTTTGGGGTCTTGGCGGTGCTGGTGTTTAGATTTGGTAGTCTATTCTATGGGATTAGCAGAGTCTCTCCCCTTTGCTGCATCTCATTAATCTGTAGTAACGTCATGATCTTGTCCCTTGGCTGCCATTCCCTGCTTGGTCAGATCAAGTAGAATCCGAGACATATGATAGCCACTCTCCTCATTGACTGCGGTTGTCTTGACCACAAGCTCTGAGATTGACATGGTCTCATATCCATAGTCGGAGGCTCATTGCTGCTGCCACCGCCGTAGTCTCGCTGACTGGGAGCTTGGAATCCTTTGACAAGGCAGGATACTTACTCCCCCATGTCTCATTTGATTGACGAAGATATGTTCCGCAACAAGCGACAAATCACCCAACCTTCTGCTTTCTTCAGAGTCCGTCCCCAAGCTGTCCAGACGGTGTCGCATCATTCGATTCCAATAGAATTTCCGAGTCATCCATCCAGGTTCCCTGAATATGCCCACTCCCAGATGAGAGACATATCACGGATGGGGCTGTTCTTTGAACGCAGAGTCTCGAACGCCTCATGCCAATTTTTAATCTCATAATCCCACTCATGCAGAGGAGTAACGTGGACTATGATAAAAATGAGATAGCCATTGTAAAACCTGACGATGCTCGGCTTTGAAGCCCCCTCCAAAAGACACACCATGTCACCTTTCTGAACAGGCTTCGCTGAAACATGGAGTGTCCAATCTCGTGGTATGCCCAGAACCCATGAGAGATACGCCCAGGAATTCGCCCGTAGCGCAAAATTCTCAATGTACACCTGTTGTCTGTCATATCGATCTGTATCACTTTTCACCCTGGATACTTCACCAAGTATATAGCCCCTGGTTCGAATCAGAGCCAAATCACAGTGGGGCCAGATTTGCACAGATCCTTTTCCTGAGAAAGTATAGGTGATGACCTGCTGGAACACGCTGTCCCATGGAAGCTTATAATCAGGTACCAGAGGGGTGTCGGAACTCATGCCAAGCAATGCGTACACTTTATCGTGCTTCTTGGTCGCCGCTCGGGTATGATACATGTCAATCAATTCGCCTAGAGTGAGTGTTCCACGCGGACGTGTAGTATATTCAGATCGGAAGATCGAGCCCCTTAGAAGATGTGTAATCGAACCAACCAGGCTCCGTAAATTGGGTTTGTCCATATATAATCTAAAAAGGCTCAAGCCCAACCAAAAGGAATAGCCATTGATCTTATCGTGGCCACACATAACCAGAATAGATCGCGCAGCGTGAACCTCCTGGAGCACCTGTACTAATTATTCAGCAGGTTTGATAAGGATTGGTGTAGAACAACAGCCCATACCCAAATGCGCCGAAACCAAGGTCGTTCTAGTAGCCTCTCAACGGCTGAATAGATCTCGTCATGTAATGTCGGGATTCCCTGATCGGGGATATATCCTTTTGGCCGAGTAATTTGTCGACGTATTTCCTCCTCCATGATTCTACGCCAGCCACTGTGAGTATCGTCATCGCCAGCAAGACGAATCACTTCAAGGGCTTTATCACTCTGATCGGCTGTTTCTCCGAGCCAAACAATGACATGGTTCGCCTGACCATATATCGTCGGCATGAACTGAATTTGCTGGGACTTTTCCTCCTCATCTCCCTGGTTGATACAGATCGCATCTATCCAGAGCAGGCGCTCAAGCTGGTGCTCTCGAAGATATAGTAATGCAGTGTAGAGGTTCTTTGTAACGGATAGAATCTGGCCATCAATACGAATGGACTGAGGGGTGCTCTCACTACCCCATACATACGATAACGCTTCATAGGGGTGATATCCCGTACTTGTGCTTGGTAGGGTGTAGTTGACCAGCTGGCATTGGATTTGAGTCGTGTTGTCTTCGCTTGGCAGGAGGCGAAGGATGCGTATCGTTTCCGACCCCGGCGGTAGTCGAGAATATGCGTATTGGGACATTGTCTTGGTTGTACGAGGGTGTGTCCTGAAATCACACAGCTGTGTTGTAGAATGTGTAGCTTCGCGACTCTGCTGCCCAATAGACCACCCTATTAATAGTCAGCCTGGCGAAGGTAATGGGGCTGTGCATTTAGGGACATGGAAGAAAGCCGCATCGGCAATCGGAGATATTCAATCACCCGCGATCTCGTGATGGTCAAGAGAGGAATCTGTAGTGCTATACAGCCTTGCTGGAAGTCAGTAGAGTATACTATGACAGGCACTCGAGGTAGTGACCTTCTACTTTCTAAGAATAGATGCTCTACGCTGGGCATGGAGTAGCTCCTATCGCAATAGTTCATCCATGTATGAATACCAATGTAAGACAGCCCTAACTCACAGAATCACACTTTGTATACATCTATCAAAGTCCGATACCTTTTCTACCTACTACATACTAGGTGAATCTCTAGGAAGCCTGTCACAGCATCATGAGTATCTCGCAATCCTGCTGCCAACGTGAGACTGTATGTGACATCCCTATCCAAATCACATCAACGGGAGGAACTCGTCAAAATATTGCTCGAAGTCGCGCTGACCCTAACATGATCCCAAGTCCATAACGGCAGGCTCCGACTCAGTCTGGCGACGTACGATATTGACCTATTCTGTCTCCTACTTGAGAACGGGATATCCTTGAAAATATGCCCAAGCCAGGTAATGTCCACGACAACAGGAACCTCACAAACTTCACCCTCCAGCCCGTTCCCAGGGTATGTCAACATCGCCCGCCGACGCGGAGGCATCATGCGAGCCACGACGTTGTACAACCGCGATGCAGCAACAATATCGACAGACGGTGGAGACCTACGCCCGGGCGTACTGCCAGTGAGCAGACAGAAACGAGCCCTGGGGGCGATTCTCGACGCAGGTGTGGAGATTCAGAAGCTTCGGCGTCTGATATTCGATCATTATGGTGATTCTTGTATATACACCTCCTGAGCCCTAGTATGACCACAATGCCAGTACCCAATAGATTCATGCAGCTCATCTGCACGACAGCCTCTTAGCGCACTCTCCAAGTGGGGTCGCCAACCAACTCCATTGATACTACATAAACGCATCTAAAACCCCAGTTTACCCTACTCCATACGATCTAGATTCTATACACCAACTTACGCATTATAACATACCCAATACTCGGACCACATAAATCACACTCCTCAATCTAAACTCCAAAATGTCTACTTCACCGCCACCAACTACAATCACAACAACTACCACCGCCACATCAAACACTACAGAACCAACCCAATCAACCACCCCAGAATCAACCGAACAACGCACCTCCGAGGCCAAAACAGCCTTCGAAGCCTCCCTTCGCTCCGTCGGCGCAAACTACGAAACCGCACTCCGCGACCGAGCCCGCACCCTCCACGAGAACTCCACCGTGCTGGACAAGCAAGAGGCCGACGTGCGGCGGGCGACGGAGCAGCTCGCCAAGCAGAATGATCAGCTTGCCAAGGTGGCGGATCAGGCGAGGGACGGGTTGAAGGAGATCGGGGATGTCCAGAACTGGGCGGAGCTGATTGAGCGGGATTTGTTGATTGTCGAGGAGACGGTGAGACTGGCGGAGGAAGAGGAAGCGAGGAATCATCATGGGAATGGGAATGTGAATAGGTATGGGGAGGATGGGGCGTTAGAGGGGAATGGGAGGGTTAATGGGTTTGGGGAGCAGGCTGGCAATGGGGATAAGGATGGGAAGAAGGGGAAGGGCTGGTTTCAGTGGTGGTGATTGTTCGATGGCTTCTTCTGCGCGATGGGTTAGGGTTGATGATATGATGATGTGCCATTGGGTATAAGTAGCATTCTTGAGTATCCAAGTCAATTTCATGGTTCTATACATCGCTGTATAAATAAATAAGACCCGTAACCAAAAAAGGATAATGATGTTAATCTGCTTCATCTTCATCTCCGCCCTCACTCTCCTCTCCCTCGCCGGTCGTCTCCCCGAAGTAATCCTTCCAGATAGCCAGTGTATCCGTCCATGACCGGCGATCCTCCAACTCACTCTCTTCATCGCCGTCGAACTCATCGTACTCGTTCCATTGTCCCAGGCTCATCAGGTGTCGCATGGTCGGTCGACCGTGAGGGCAGTTCCATGGTTTGTCAATCCTGCCCATGTTTCTTACTACTCGCGTCATTTGCTTCTGGGACAAGTTCTTTCCGATCATAATGCTGGACCGACACGCCCGCATAGCGAACATTTTTCGCACCTTACTCGGTCGCGGAACATACATGGGCCCCGCGGCGCTGCTCGCCGGCATCTCAGAAAGCAGGACGATGAGCTCCTCCAGATCTCGCACGCCGAAGACGACTTCCTTGCTCAGTGGTAGCGAGACCAGTTTGCACCTGCGACCAATCGGTTCATTGCCGCTGTCATCAACTTCGACGACAAAGCCATTCTTCTCCAGCGCAGATTGGTTCTCTATCACGATTTCCTCTTCGACCGCCGTCAGATCCAGCTGCTTCGGTTGCACAAGTCGTTGATTCTGCACCACGGTTTCCGCCTGGAGTCGCTCAAAGTTGAACTTCTCGTCGGAAGCGTGCTGGTCAATGATAAAAAGCTCATCCTTCGAACTGGATGATGTCGAGTCAGAGATACCTGTTGAGGATCGGGTGGCTAGAATGAATCCCAGGTTGAACTGCCCAGCAATCCGCATCTTGCCGAAGTCATCCTTAGAAACAGTCAGTGACAACCGCTCCTCAGCAGTCTCCTGCGAATTTTCTGCCTCATCGTCCCGAGAATGTGCAGCATCCGAGTCATGTAAGCGAAGGCTTTCTTGAAGCTTGTCGATCTGAAGCTGAATCCTAGACAGTGACCCATCAATAGTGCTCACTAGGTTGACTGTGGAATCACGATGAGTCGCGCCCTTATTCAGTTTGTTCGCACGGTTGATATTGCTTTCCTGTGGCAAGGCAGCCTTTTCTTCCGCCTGTCGAATCAGCCGCTGAACTTCGGCTTCTTCGCGTTTCTTCTTCTCTTCATCGCTTAAGGTCTTTTCCACTGGTGGAGCATCTTGCTGAGACATTGCCGGTTCATCCTTGACCTCAGTCTCGGGTAGAGCTTCATCTTGTGAATGAACACTATCTTGATCTGGAAGGACATGAGATTGAGAATCATCCTCAGGCTCCTCATCTTCGATTTCCTCTTCATCGGCCATGTCCTCAGCTTCCTCTTCCTCTTCCTCTTCCTCTTCCTCCTCGGCCTCGCTGCTCGCGCTGTGATCTACCTGAGTTCCAGGCGCTGCAAAGCCCCTCATGTGCTTCCCAAATATCCTCGGACGAGACGGGGTATGTATACGTCTTTTGCGAGCCGGGGAGTTAGTAGTGTCGACGTGGTCAATATCACGTTTTCGGTAGGGACCACTTCCAACTATGGACGTCACAGTCTTGTTTCCGATGGTGATCGTCGCCAACTCAGCCGACGCTCGTCTTGGCCTCATTCGGTCAAATGCATTCTGTATAGTATTGGGCATCTCCACAGATGGCTCTCGTCCCTGCATTGTTGTCTGCTGTGAATCTGGTGCTGCACTACTCTGTGGAGCATCGTCATCATCAGCAATCTGCGAGTCTTCATCAGCGGCGCGTTCTGGTCGCATGCTCTCGTCTGCACCCGGAGATGGCTCTTCAGGAACGAAGAGCTCGTTGTCTTCATCTAATGAGTTAGGTTTTGGTCGAGTAGGCGTATTTGGAGGCAACGATGTCGGATCACGCGCAGGTTCTTTGTCCACACGAAGGGGAGACGAGGATATGCTCGCTCTACCACCAGGTGACGACCCGAGATCGCTCAAGAAGCTCCTCATCCTATGTTGGGAGTTGAGCCTGCTTCTCCCATTAGCTTGGCTTTCATCCAGCTCTGAGCCCTCATCTTCCGCAGCCTCTGCGCCCCCGGACGAAGATTTACGAGCTAGAATGTCTTGCAGCTTCCCTTTAGTAGCTGACTGCTTAGCATTGTTGACATGAGATTGAGGAACTGTCTGATCCGACGATTCAAACAACTGCGTAAGAGATGTCTTTAGAGACTCGATCAAAACTCCCGCATCGTGCAGTAAAATTGTGCGCTTATCGGGTGAAACATTAACATCGTACGCGTTAGTATCCATATGAAAGTCCGCAAACACAAACGGTGACTGTGACACGTTGAAAGATTTGTAGACCTCGTTGAACGCCTTGGCTATTTGCGGCAATCCACAAGGACGAGAGTTGACAAAGAACATCTGACGGTCCGGTGTTTGCCTGCCTTCCCCAAAAACGGGTCTCGAGACATGCCCCCGAACGAAGATCTGATTCAACTCCCGCTCTTCGTCCACAGCGGCTCGCTTCCCAGCCGCGGATGGCTCGAACTCCAGGGTTAGATCGAGCGGAATCAAAGCCAGTAACGTCTTCGCACCGTAGACGTTGGCGATGTTCTCTTTTGTGGTCTGATTACCGTTCGTGGAGAAGACCACCACATTCCGGGTCTTTGCGACAGTGTTCTTGACGCTGAAACGCACGCCTGTGCTGACACACGCGTACGCATGGAGAAGATTTAAAACCTTTCCATATTCACGCTTGATGTTCTTTTCCAGCTCGCGGCGCCGCACCGGTAGTCTCTTGAACAGTCCCTCCACCGATACCGTTGTGCCCTTCTGACCCGCGACAATCTGTGTCTTCTTCAATTTCCCGGAGGGTTCGAATTCAAGACGATTGGCTTTGGGAGCCTGGTTGGCTTGAGCGGTGACAACATGGAACTCGGACAGGGCGCAAAGGGACGATAATGCTTCGCCGCGGAAACCGAACGTCTGTAGCCGTGATAGGTCCTCATAGGAAGAAAGCTTCGATGTGTAGTGTTTGAGTGCTGGTGAGACGGAGAGTTAGATACTTCCTATACTAGAATAGGAAAACTGGCGAAAAGCTTACCAACGTTCTCGTAGTTCTCCGGAGATATTCCACTGCCGTTGTCTTGCACCTCAATCATGTCCAGTCCATTGTTCTTGAATCGGACCTCTGTCGTGAAAGATAGATTGATCTTGGTCAGCTTGCGGTTCTATAAGAAACCATATACAGGCGCATGTAGATCTATATAAAGTGCAAGGGTCCTGTTTACCGATCGATGTGGCGCCGGCATCGAGACTGTTTTCAACCAACTCCTTAGCAACGGAGCAGAGATCGATGATGACTTGACCGGATTGGATTTGGTGAACCTGAAAAGGCGCAACACGACGAAGTTAGGGACTGATCATTTAAAGATTCATAGGTACGTACCGAACGGGCCTCGATGGCCTTGATGGTCGCCATATTCAGCCCATGGTGAAGATGGTCGATGCGAACGCGACTTACGCGGTTGTCGGCCACTTTACGCGATACCGCGATCGGTAAGCATCGGACAAGATAAGATTGATCTCCATCTACAATACATTCATAAAACCAGCCGTTTACACTCGCTTCGCTCGTACGGCTTGAAATTAACTCTTTCCTCGTTTTTTGATATCCCAAGTATTCACAGTCCTTCTACGATTCAGTAGATTTAGTAGGAACGGCCATAAATACTCAAGTTGCTCGGATTACGGAGATTCATAGGGGTGGGAAAACGGGCTGTACATCGAGAAAACATAGGTTTCAGACTAAGTTCAATCTCGTAGCTTCCATATATAATAGACACAGTCTCATTCGTCATAACTACAATATCATGCAGCAAACTATATAACAGCCCAGGAAGCGACATGCACCGTGGACATCGGAATAACTCTCATTGCTATTGAACGCCCAACTCCACTGTATAGTCAACACAATTTAAGGTGACGGTGCCTAACAACTTCAATACACGCCGAATCGATCAGGCATAACCACCGGGGCAATCAGCGTCCACAGATAAATCGCATAGCAAACCCAAGCGCTGATAATCTTCACCCAGCTGGCCCAGTACGTCCGCCCCACAGCAGCAAAGTCATCTGTACTCTCGGCATCGGTTTCCAAGCTCTGGGTGAGAAGCGTGGCCACCCATGTCGTAGCCAAGAAGAAGATCACGTGAAACAAGGAGTAATTATACTGCGTCGACCCTCGTTCATCGTCTTTAGTATTATAGTCATCGGATTCATCATCGCTGTCGTCGTCGAGCGCACTGGCGGGTAAACTGCCACTAGCCACGGCGGCACGAAGAGCTTCGGCACGCATCTCGCGACGACTGGTCGGCTGCTGTGTCACAAGACCATGTTCGTTGTCATCCGTCCCCAGCGGCGAATAGTTGTGGCCGCCCTTCGATCCTAACGCAAGCCCCTGAGTGGCTGCACGTGTTGTCGTGTATGCGATGGTAGCCATCGTAAGAATGGCGCCCACAACAATACTGGCCGTTCTCGTCCCGCGAGCGCGCACTAGAGGATTGCACTGGCGGTCATCTGGTTCCATTGAAACAGCCGACATAGTCAAATACGTGCAATAGACAGTCACCATGGCTGCTTGAGCCAGACCCGCTCGCGGATTGGATTCTTGCACTATAGGCTGAATGGACACGAAGGATATGATCAAGAAAACAACGAGGTTAACCTGATCCGTCAGCCGAGCCCCAGTAAGACAAATGTGGCCAGTGATTCATGACTTACCGTAATCGCGGCTTGGTTCATGGTGCAATTACCGCGGGCGAAGAAAACATACATCAGGACTGTCATCACGATCGATGCGATGTACATGCCAATAGTTGAGCCAATGAGCAGCCCGCGCCAAATTCGAGAGTCGCTGTCCTCAATCTTCTGCAAACAGATCTCAGCCCAGGAATGCGCCAAATCTACCAGGAGGATAAGACCCAGTAACAGGAAGAGCATAGCGCAGATAAAGGCGATGTAACGGCCATAGATGAAAAAGAATGACTGCGGGATGAAGAATGACATGACCACGAAGGCGATCCATAGGATGATCTTCGGGCCCCAGAAGCCATTCTGAAGGACTGCACGGCCATCTTTGGATGACCTCACCCCCAACAGGAACACCGCGAGAACCAAGTGAAAGAGACCAAGACCGAAGTTAATACGGTGGACCGCCACCCAACCATGGCATTCTTTGCCGTCGCAAGTGATTTCCATATAGTCCAGCGTCAGATGTTGTAGCTTCTTGAGTGCCCATGGTGTGAGCATTATCCACGAAACGATTGAATTGATCAGGAGAATGAAGGCGTAGGCGATTCTCGTAGCCATACTAGAAATCCGGGGCCCCGGATGTCAGCGACTTATCATATCCTCAGTCAGCGCAGAAAAATACTTACCTATTCTGAAACTTTCCGCACGCACTACATACTGCCGAGCAAGTTGCAGCCCCGCAACATGAAGTTGCAAGCGTTATAAGCTAAGTTGATATCAGTTGAGATCCGATCAGGTAGCAATGGAGAAGCACGTACGGTACTGGCACTTGGCACCGCCAAAAGTGGCAGAGAAAGTAGAGCACCCATGTTGTTAAGGCGCCCTTCCCAGGAAAGGGACTGTGAACTTCACCAAATGATACTTAGCAGTAAGGTTTAATGTTATATACTAGTCCTGGCGAGTGAGTTTGCGTCGACCGATTGAATGATGCCATGGAGGATGCAAGCAACCGGAAGAGTCGCCGCCGCCTTCGTCATGTGCCGATAACGGTTACATAAGCGACGACGGGGTGCTAACTTTATCCAGGCCGATAACGCTGTACTTCAAGTACTGTACCTGACGGTACTTGCGTACCTGTACGTATACTGGGTGGTACCTCCGAATACATTTTGGGGTCAAGAACGATTAGTTCGGGAGAGATTACGAGTCCAACGGCCACTTTGGCTTCTGTCGTCGCGTGCTTTTATTTCTTCCCTGTTCAATTTACCTCCCCCTCTTTTTTTTAATTTTCAATTTTCTTTTTTTTTATAATCTTATTCTTCTCTACACTCGTTGGATTGTAAACTTCTCTCCCACTTCTCGTATTTAATATTCGTACCACCCCTTGCATTCGTTCGTTGGATCGTTTTTATTCCTTCTGTTATACCATCCTGACGTCTGTGACGCTGATAAGCTTTATCTTGCCCATTCGCCGAAAGGAATCGGCATTTATTCGACGCCTCCCCGCTGCCCCAATTTCCATTCAATTGCTTACGCAGTGTATGCGCTGGGAGGAATACTATAGCCCTTCACTTGACGATTCGGTACAACGGCACCGTCACAATCCACCATGGCCGAGTCAACACATAAAACCAGGCGCATTATATCCGTGGTTGCGGGCACACTAGTAGCCCTGGCCTGTGGGACCAATGTATGATTGCCGTGATGCTTGTCCCTGCGCCCAACTCCCTCTTGAACTACACTTATGGCCTGGACCATCTACCAAAAAAAACAAGTACTGATGGACCGCAGTATGCCTACTCGGCATGGGCGCCACAATTTGCGGAAAAAATGAAGATCTCGTCGACTGAGAGCAACTTCATTGTAAGCTTGTCTCGTTTTTCTCGGAAAAGCCGATGTATAGCGTACTGATGTCTCACAGGGCACGGCTGGAAATCTGGGGATGTATGCTTCAGGAGTTCCATTGGGGTTGTTAACCGATACTCGAGGTCCACGACTCACGACTTTTATTGGTGCTGTGGCCCTTGGTATAGGCTATTATCCTATATATATAGGTTTGTTTGTCCGATTGTCACTGGCGCTTATGGATGTTTGTACTGATTATGATCGATAACTATAGCCTATGAGCACGGAAAGGGTTCGCTCAGTGTTGGCGTGTTGTCCTTTTTCTCATTCCTAACTGGCCTCGGAAGTTGCTCCGCCTTCTCGGCTTCGATCAAGACAGGTGTGTTGATCTCTGCCTCACGAACATTCGTTCGGAACTAAAACCCGTCAACTTTAGCTGCAACGAACTTTCCCGATCATCGGGGAACAGCGACCGCATTCCCCCTGGCAGCCTTCGGACTGAGCGCCTTTTTCTGGTCTAACGTCTCATCGTTCATTTTCAAGGATGACACTGGCCGGTTTCTTCTGCTGCTGGCAGTGGGGACTTTCGTCTTCAACCTCGTCTCCATTCCCCTCCTTCGGCTCATGCCCCCAGCTAAAGCGTACATGGCCTTATCACGGGATCGATCGCCAGGAGTAGAGTCCACCCAACTACATAGGACGAAGTCCTCTGATTTGCGTTATGTTCCAGAAGAGTCTGATGAAGCAGGTATGCAGAGTTCTACAGCTTTTGAATCCCACTCCCCAATGCATGTACGGTCGCAATCTGGCGCGTCGAACCACTCCCACCATTCTAGCCACAATCCCGACTTGGATGAAACGTCATCGTTGGTATCCAAAAGCACCCCAAGGCAATCTCGGGAGGTTGGCCAGGAGGAAGATGATGCTCTCGTAGATGGCGTCGGCTCACCTCACCCAGACATTAGAGGCTTGGCAATGCTGCCCAAAGTAGAGTTCTGGCAGCTTTTCTTGACGATGGCTCTCCTTTCTGGAATCGGTTTGATGACAATCAAGTATGTTTTAACTCTACCTCCCTTGACTTCATTTAGATACTTAGATACTAACAATGATCATAGCAACATTGGCAACAGCGTAAGACACCCATGTTACCAGCACGTTCATCTATATACTAACCCCCGCAGGCCAAAGCATTGTGGAAATACTACGACGATAGTGCTACCTCCAGATTCATCCAACAGAGACAGGTCATGCATGTGTCCATCCTATCATTTGGCAACTTCATCGGCAGACTGTTCAGTGGTACGTGCCACCACAACATTGCTCGTCCATACATTTTCTAACGACAGTTATCGCTTTAGGAATTGGATCAGATCTACTAGTCAAGAAGCTCGACATGTCACGATTCTGGTGCCTATTCATCTCCGCGGTTGTATTCACCGTAACTCAACTAGCAGGAGCCGCGATATCCAACCCACACCAGTTGATGGTCGTCTCGGGATTCACGGGGGTCGCCTACGGCTTCCTTTTTGGTGTTTTCCCCTCTCTGGTAGCTCACACTTTCGGCATCGGAGGCCTCTCCCAAAACTGGGGCGTGATGACCCTTGCCCCCGTTCTGAGTGGGAACGTCTTCAACTTGCTGTACGGCAGCATTTACGACCGACACTCTGTTGTCGGTCCAGATGGAGACCGGGACTGCCCCGACGGCTTGGGCTGTTACCGGACGGCATACTATACCACATTCTTCTCGGGAGTAGCTGGCGTCATAGTATGCTTGTGGAGTATTCTGCGCGAGAGGCGGGTCCACGGCGCGATCCGCAAGAAGATTGAACACGACCGTCTTGCTTAAGGCGGGAAGGGATATATATGTGCCGCCCGCTAAAGAGCGGGCGCCTCTCTATCTTTCAAAATTGCCTGGCCGAAAAGCCATTTCTTACATGTTTCTTATTAGCTATATACCCAAGTTTGAGCGGTATCTGCGACGACGTTGATAACTCATCTCATATGTCACTACTGGGAGAGGTATAGACGGATGATAATTTTTTGGGAGGCCTATCTTTCGTCCTTGAGGTATTCATTCTGCATTTCCCTTGATAATTCCACGCTCCTTCACGAATCAGTGGGTGGTGCCTTGTATATAGTCAACACATCCAAAAATCATACTTGTTCACTTGCACTATCCACTTTCGTACGTTGTAGTAAGTGAGCCATATCCGAGCGTCATCCGCAATAGCCGAGGTAAGATAACCGAAACCGGCGCGAAACCATTGGGAGAAGATAATAGATAAAAACAGGTAAAGATAAGATAAGACAGACAACGATAAATGGCCGATTTGGGCATTCACACATCATACCGTACACATTATAGAGTCACATCAAGAAAAAAGACTAGCTAAAAATAACACGGTAGAATAGAATGGAACGCATTTCAGAACCACAAGATATCAAAATTTTTCAGCACGAGTCATTTCCCTGCTGGGTTGCCAAATCCTGACGCTCTCTCCGAAAGATAAAAAATTCAATCAATTACCACGTAACCACTGCAGTCCGGCTTGCAATCCTATCGTCATCCTGGGCTTCGACGATCCGAGGAGGCCAAAGCTAGGCGGTAAAAGAAACAAAACAATTGGGAATAATGAACACAAAATAACTGAACATGGCTGCCCCCCGCTTTGGTTTTGCAATCCCCTTTTCTTCATATAAACGTTGTCGCGATTCCGCGGTTTGCTGTCCCAAAGTGATCTCCTCCGTCCCGTACCGGAATTCAAAGTGCTCGGTAATCCAAGAGCAATAAAGATGTGAAATAGGGAAACGAATGAAGAAAAGAATTGAAGTATTGGAAGGGAGAGTTATTAGTTTTAATCCGATATACATCCAGCCAAATGACAAGACACGTAAAGGGTATCAAAAAGACCAAGGTAGATCAGAGAACTCAGCAAAGCGGTTGCACTTCGTTTTTCGCCCGAATCGAGGGGGGCCCGATGAGATTCACGAACCGTCGTTCGATCCCTGTGATCCCTGTGGTTAGACGCTCTTTGGCGATTTGGTAGGAGAAGTGGAGGGTTGATCTACCACATCAGACAGCCTCATTCGTTTCGCCATGGGCTCACCAGGGCTTTCATCTCCTTCAGGGTTGCCATTACTGGCTTCCCCGACGTGACGTTCCAGTTCAGACACCCGACGCTTAAGGTCTTCTTCGCGCCGTTGCGCTTCCTCGAGGGCTCGTTTAAGGCGCGATTCCGAGTCGCGAGCGATCATCTCGGACCGGCGCGCGGCAGCATCGCTCTGTTCGAGTTCCGTTACTCGGCCCCTAAAAAGGTCATTGACAAACTCCAGTTCTCGCACGCGGGTCTTCAACGATGTGTTCGCGGCCAAGAGCCCCTCGATTGTCTGCGGAGACTCGTTCAGGCGGTCCACGGCTGCAGAGGTCGAGGTGGGGGACTGCTGGCGAAGTTGCCCAGATGACAGCCCATTCGTCAGACCGTGATCTCCCAGGGTAACACTGTCGAACATGTGCTGCGGCGCGATGTTGGAGTTGTGCTGCGGCGGGAGCTGTTGCTGCATCGGCGGAAGACCAGGCGTTTCTGTTCGGGAGACTGGTGAGTTGGAACGATCCGAATGGCCAGGTGACATCTTCCGCGACGCGCGACGATATCCATGAGATCCAAGTGGGGGAGTACCGGCCTCTGATCTGGACGTGGAGAGTCCATTTGCATCAACGGCACTGCTGGACTATTTGAGGCGATTACATATCAGCGTCTTGAGCCACTTCGGGGGGTCGAGTTGCGGCAGAGCAACAATTACGAATAGAAAAATTTTCGAGGGTTTCCTGCTCACCTTACGCTTAGGGCCCTGACCCGCGGTCTTGACCCTATTGCGACTTTTGATCACATCAGTTTTCAAGCTTATCGGACGGGGTCTTCCGTGGAGCTTCAGGAATAAGCCACAGGCGTTGCAGAGGACCGAACCGAGTTCATCCCGGCGCCACAAGGGCGTGGTGGAAGTACCACAATTCTGGCACACGGGCTGTAATTGAGGGCGTTTCTGGTCAGTCAAGGTCGTCGCCATTGTAGGAAAAGACGAGGGGATCGAGAATGGAGGGTGGAAGCCAATGGGGTGGATGAGGTATGGCGCTGATAGTGGAATAGAGGGAAAGGAGCGACGGTTGATAAGATCGGGAGAGATTTGACGGGCTGGCGCGATAAGACTTGACACGCAGTGGGTGGTGCGGTGCCAAGACCCCATCGGCTGCTGATAACAGATTGGGAAAGCCTTTCCAACTTCCCCCAGGAAAAAAATAAAATAAAAAAAAAAATTCCAAAAAAATGGGGTCGCATCTTGATAAGCGCCAACACAGATACGATAAGAACAATTCCTCAACACGTTCACTCTACTTACAGGGCTATTGCCTTGTCCACCAGTAGTTGCTGCAGGTGATGAGGTCGCGTAAGTCATATTGGTCATGGGCTGCGCATTACTCCCAGAATTCCTGTTCGCGTAGAAAATCTTTGTCAGTCACCCAGGATTCTTTGACACTGGACCATAGTGTTCGTAAGATAGAAAGCGTAAAACAGCAGATATTTCAAAGCTACCAAAATTGCCTTCGACAAGGGCATAACGCGATAGCAGGATATGACACCAGTCCAAGTACATACCGCAGATTGGAAGTTGGGGCCGATGCGACCGAGGCCAGAGCAGACAGTCCTGACAGCGATGGGCCTAGGGAACCGGGAAAGCTGCTACCGTTGCTGTCGCTACTACCAGGGCTTTTGTCCAGAGAACCAAACTCAGGAAGCGCTCCAAAGTACTGCGACGATGCTGTCGATGCACTCGCTACCGCGTCCGTTGTCGACTGACGAGAGGTGGACGGACTGTCAATTGAAGAAGTAGTGTTGTTGTACTTGAGATCGTGAGACTGTGAGGCCGATGGCGAGGTAGGACGCAGGGCTGGGTCGATGGGCGACGCCCGGAACAAGAGTGAAGCCACTGTGGATGGTGTCGAGAAGAACCCGCTAAAAATCCGGCCTGGATGGACCGAATTGGGAGCAGTACGTGACTGTTGTCGTATACAAGAAGGAAACCGGTGCCGTTCGGAAGGGCCAGCCACGTAGAAAAAGGGAGGAAAGATGTGGAATGTTCCCTATTTTCCCTATACCAAAATAGACTGTCCGTATGTAAAGTATACTGCAGTAAAGATTCCTTTCCTACCCTTAGCGTTGGGACGTCAGAGCCGAAGAAGTCAGTGGGAAAGGAAAAGGTCTGAACGGAGGAGATAGGGAGAATTCGACTGGATAGACACCGGCAGGGAACGACGACGAGGAGGAGTAATTGATTTAGATTGGTTGGGAGGAATAGCGAGCCAACCGGACAGCAAATGTTAGGAAGAGCATACCTCTTTAATTCATCGGACAGAGAAGTCCAGTCGTGGCCAAGAAGTTCGTTACACGAGACGGAGAGAAAGAGGAAGAGGTTCTGGAGAAAGATTGATTATCGGAATCGCTATCGCGCGTCCCTCGGACACTATCGATTGTTATTTATCGGCGGGAACAACAGCAATGCTTGGCTGGGGGGGTTTTATTAATAAAATGTAATAATCTAAACCCGTTGGACCCTGCTGGTGGTTGTATTTATTCACTTCAATTTAACGTTAGTTTCAATAGTTTACTATGTTTATGTCTTTCGCTGCATGGCTATTTGCGCTATTATGAAGCTCCTGCCGGTGGGTTTTTCCTATTAACTCCTTCCTGCCTCCAGGATTTATGCGACTATGTATGCAGCACGCAGGGCTAGGAATGAATGAAATGACAATCCACGCGATAGTCGCATCTCGCCCCTGCATCCCCCTATCTTGTCCAGCTCTTTGGGGTTGAGATGGGGATTTAATGAAGTAGCAAAATTCCGTTGGGTGATTGCTAGGCGGGCTCGTTTTGCCATGAGAGGATAGTAGTATTGGCATAGCAATCAATAAAAGATCGTCACTACCTCAATTCGATATCACTAGGGGTGGCAGATGGTCTTCAGGTCTAAAGGCGCTTACTATCATGAGCTAGACCGTGACACCGATCCGATCCTAGATCCGTTTCTCGTAGGAGATATATGAAATATATCGATCTTGGTAGCAACACCATTCCAGAGAAAGCCAAAGAACCGAGACATGGACCGTGATGGCTACCGATGCAGGTAATAACCGTGCTTAGAGCCTCGCATTGATCATATATTAATTACGGAACCTCCAACGTCTGTCGGATGGCTCAGTTCTTATGGTGATTCAGACATGACCGGTCCCTTGGATGTCATCTGTCCAACTTGTTACTACTTTCTAGAACAGAAATTCCTTCGGTTCATACTTGATATATGCGATCTGCCATGTTCCCAAGTTGTATACAACCAGATCTACCGGCTCAATGGCAAATAGGGTTGTAGCCACAATGTATGTTTACTGATTAGGTCGAATCCTGGGCCTTGAGCAACTGACACGACCCGTCCTCTCGGATCGTCCTGCTGCGCATACTCCGGCCGAAGGTAGGCAACGAAATAAGTATGAAGGCAAGTTGATCCTCTAAAATTCAGGGGCTTTTTTAAGCTCCGGTGGAGCCACACGGGACAGGGCTGTGGCGGTGCGGTACGGTAAAGTACCCGCTCTGTGGCTGACTCTAGACTAGCTATTCGCCTTTGGGCTCCATGCCACGGGACTTCGCGGTACGGTACAGTAAAGGGCCACTTCTGTGAGTTGGCCGTGCAAGTTCTCGGTGGATGACGGCGGCGGTTTTATTGGAGGGATCAAGTAAGTTCCCTTCTCTCACCACCTAATCTACAATTCCTCCCTCTTTTACTCCCCAGAGGGAAACCCTTCTCTTACTTGCAATCTCTCTGCCATTATTGAGTAATGCCGTAATTCGATTCGTTCTTCTTCTTCTTTTCCCTCTTTTAGTTCTTCTCTCGCTTCCTCCTTCCACTCCCTGCCGTTCCCTCAGATGCAACGACCTGCATTCGCCTCCCGGCCCTTCCATTAGACCACAGATACACCATGCCGAAAAACCGACCTGCGACCTCGGGTTACGCCCGTCTGGCCCAGGAGGAAGAAGACAGAGCCAATGACTTGTATGATTATTCAGATGACGATAACTTACACGACTCCCTCGGCACAACATCCCACTCCGCTCCCCGATATGCTCCCATTTCCTCCCGCGCGCAAATGGATGCGTCCATTTTGTCTTCGCCCCCAGGACATCGTCGGAGACCGAGTGGCTACCATCGTCGAGGCCGAAGAAATTCCGGAGTGGATATCAAGGCCATCAATGCGCGCCTCGAGCGGTGGGCCGAAGAGATCGCCTCTAAGTTCAAGATCAACAAAGTCAAGGGAAAGACTTTGGAAGAAGAAAAGCTTGAAATTTACCACTCTGTATTCCAACCCCCGAATGGTGTCAGACCAATCTCCGCCGAAGAGCTTGAGTCGGATGAAATTGAAGGCGCAGCGCGAAGGGCGCGGGAGGAGTTTGAGAACGTTGTAGAGAGTGTCCACTCAGCGATACTGATGGGAATGCACCCCCGGATGATCTCTCAGGGAAGCTCCGGTAGTTATTTTGCGCGCAACAGTGAAGGCAAAGTCGTGGGGGTTTTTAAACCCAAAGACGAGGAGCCTTATGCGTCCCGCAATCCTAAGTGGACGAAATGGATCCATCGAAACCTGTTCCCATGCTTCTTTGGTCGTGCCTGCCTGATTCCCAACTTATCCTATGTCTCGGAAGCAGCCGCGTATGTCCTCGACTCTCGTCTGCGCACCAATCTCGTCCCCTACACCGATATTGTGTGGCTATCCTCGAAATCATTTTACTACGATTTCTGGGACCGGAGAAAGGCATGGATGGGCAAGCGACCCCTTCCCCCTAAGGCCGGTAGCTTCCAAGTCTTTCTCAAGGGCTACAAGGATGCGAATCTCTTCCTACGAGACCATCCCTGGCCAGACCAGACCAATACTGGCTTTCGCGCGGAAGATGCCCCAAAGCGCAAGAAGCGGCCTTGGAACGAGGCTTGTCGTCCTTCTGGAATGCAGTCGGATGATGAAGATGAGGATGATTATGAGAACGGTGATATACAAACCCCATCACCAAGGGAGCAGAGTAGGGAGCGACGGTTCTACTGGACCGAGAGTCTCAAACAGTCATTCCGCGAGGAGTTGGAAAAGTTGGTGATTTTGGATTATATTATGCGCAATACTGACCGTGGGTTGGATAACTGGATGATCAAAATCGATTGGAACACCGAAGAAGTGTCTATTGTCGTTGATCCACCCAAGCCCAACGGCACTCAGCAGGACGATGACGACGACCATCTACCTCCCGCTCGCCCCGTTTCTGTCAATTCGGAGCGCACATCCTCTGCCCCTCTTCCCTACAGGCGACACGAGGCGATGGTGGCAGTGAGTCGCACTGGCACTCCTCTGAACTCGTCGGAGCCTCAAGCGTCTATTCAGATCGGAGCAATCGATAACAGTTTGTCCTGGCCGTGGAAACATCCTGATGCTGTAAGTAGATTCTTAATTAACCTGGTCGCAACAAATTTCTCACACCCTCTAGTGGCGAAGCTTTCCGTTCGGCTGGCTATTCCTTCCGGTTTCTTTGATCGGACAGCCCTTTTCTCAGAAGACTCGGGACCATTTCTTACCTCTCTTGACCTCAACAGCCTGGTGGAGCGGCACGCAAATGGCGCTGCGACGCGTATTTTCTCAGGACGATGACTTCAAGGAGAGCATGTTTGCGAGACAGATCGCAGTCATGAAGGGACAGGCTTGGAACGTTGTGGAGACGTTGAAGCAGCCTGACCATGGACCGCTAGAGCTCACGCGACGAACCCGGGTGTGCGTTTGGGATGATCTGGTGGACGTTCCCGTTGCTATTCCCCTTCGTGGACCATCGACAGAAGCACAAAAACGCAAGGTGAAGAGCTACGAGAACTACGACTATGACCCCGACCACGAAGAGATGGATATCGGTGCATCCATGTCGCTGGGGACCGGTCCCGAGAATGATCTCCTGGGCCTTGGATCGTCACCGAATGAGCTGCCCAAC